TTATTGGTTTGGAGCTTAGGCCCCGGCTGTGGCCGTGCTCTGAAGAGATCTGCGCCTAGGTGCAGATCATGATCCCCCGGGGCCTAGACACTGGTGGTGGCAATAAGGCAAGGTGAAGGTGAGAGTGAAGAATTCCTGAGGCGGAGGTGGGGAGGAGGTGGTTGCAGCTTGAAGTCCGTTTGGTGAGCTGTGCTCTGCTTTACTCTTAAACGCTGGCTTGATTGACACGGCTGCGGGGAGTTGATTAAGACAGGCTGAGTAAGGCGTGGTCAAGCCTTGTGTGATAACGTAGGTAGTCTACCATGCTGAACCTCCGCTTAAGCTCCATGTTGGTAAAGTCAAAACAAGGATTTACAGCAATGAATAGCCTGCCTGCATTTTTGGAGATGAATTTGGCTGGATGGCACAGTGAACTTTTGCTTATGATCTCAGGCAGATGACTATGTTTTAGGCAGACTGTTACGAGTAAAATGTTATTGTTTGGCTTTTTTAAACTATTCTGTGCTTTTTCTTTTTTTCCTGAGAAAATACCAACATTCTTTTTTTTTCTCCAGATGTAAATGTATCGTGAACAGATATCATTAAAGAAAAAATAGACAGCTACACACTGTCTGAATCAAATGAGAATCCATCTAATGTATATTAACTAAACTAAAGCCATGTTGATGTGATGCTGTTTTTTTAATCTGAAAAGGAGCTTATAAAGTGATAAAAAGTAAGAATGTTCATACAGGCGTCATCAGTACTTCCTCCTCATAGTTTTACAATCAGGCACCAGATTGAATTTACAAATTTACTCTGCTCAGTTGTGAAATATTGTGAGATAGCTAGGGGTAAGGATTCCTTCTTGTTTTGACTGACCAGGACAATGTGCAGTCAAATGTACACGATCCCAGGCCTGTGTACTGTAGTCTCCTCTGAACCCGCCTCGCTGATTGGCAGCTTAAGTGCTTCCATTGTCACACTCTGACAGATTAATTGCAATCGGACGGCTACAGTCTCACTCAAATTTCAATCCATGTAAATCCAAGTCAGCTGAATGGATAATAAACAGTTTGGGTCTGTTGGCGGGTGTCTGAGGCAAATTCATCATACTCTCTTAGCTTTTCATCAATTTGAATTATTCACTTAAAACTATGGAGGAGATGAAATGCCTTGTTACCTTATCTCAGTGTAGTCTTGTCAAGTCAGATTTGTTATGAAGTAAATATAATGACAATGTTACCTGTTTAAAATCTTTAAAACTTCTGCCTTTGAAACAGCTTCTTCATTGTGAGATATAAGGGATAACGTGATTTTGGACCATACACCTCTCTGATTCTGAGGTGGAGATGTGGACGTGATTATATTGTTGACCCTTCTATGACCCACCTGCAACACTTTGGCAGTTCTGAAACTCATTGTGTAAACCCGCCATCTGCTGCCCCAAGGAGGGACATTTTCACTATTGCAAAAGCCCATTGTCGACCTGAATTATACTTGGTTACAAAGCTCATCAACACTGTGCACCATTTGGGGACTAAAAGAACATTGTTGACGTCTCAACTTTTCAAATGGATAGCACTGCAATTCACATTGATCATTACTGCAGTTTTACCAGATCAGATGGGAAATAATATATTATAAATAACTAAAAGGATCTAGTCAAGCATAAACATGTCTGATTAGGTCCCAGTGTATTTTATTTACAGACATGGATGTGTTCACACTCCATTTGAAGCTTGCTCTGGTGCACTTGGGACCTTTTAGTGCGAGGTGTAATCACATATAATTTCATATTTTTTCAATGCCACTTTTTCATTGTACATAATTATATCCTGACTGTATTTTTAACCTTTAACATGTTTGCAAACTTCTGTCTTTGGCACAAATCTTGAGTGATTATATCTATGCCAAATGTGACACCAGATTTATCCAGTGTGAGATCAATAAGGTCTATCTTATCTTAATAAAACAAGGGCTTCAAAATCACCTCAGTCAGAAAACAGTGTTGTAATTAGGACTGGTGCTAATGCTCTTTGTTTGAATCCATACATGGTCCTGGAACCAAACTGTTTCCGATTCTGTTCTAATACGGTTATGATTATGGATTATTATCACATACTCTATTTTGAAAAGGATTTTTACGTCTCAATATTCATCTTAAAAGAGCAGCAGGTGAAAATCTGTCCAAAAGTGGTACTGCAACCTCTCCCAATCTCCCTGACTCAGGTTGCCAGATATGCAGACAAATCCATCTGGGACCATAATATCTGAATAAATCTATAACCATCACCTCACCTTTCACAAAGATATGAATCCTGGTTTTATTCCTTGTTTTGTAATTAATGATTTGAGAATCATTACGAGTTTTTTAGTACTGCAGCCATATGTTACTTTATCGTGAGATTAGCTCGACGCAGGGAGTTCTGGCAACCCGGATCACAGACTTACTGATTGGTAAAACAGTGGAGGGCGGGACATCGAAAAGAAAACAATAACAAGATTTAGGGGCCGTAAAACTAATTTTGAAATCCAAATATCTCGGCTGAACTACTGTTATCAGTTAAAGAGAAGTATTCAAAAAGAGCATGTTTTATTGATGCCTTTTGACGGATTAGGACCATTTAATGATGACTTGACATGAAAATCTTACAAATTACTTTAAGTTACATCTATGCCAAAATAACTGTATAAAGTCGCGGACTATATCTTGGGGGATTAATTGTGGAGAAATCAATGAATGAAATTAAAGTAAAGAGCAGAGATTTTGGTTAGAAATGGGGGCGGGGTCATCATCTGAATCTTAAACACTGGTGAAGAAAATGACCTAAAGCGACATAAACCACTGAATACAACTTGGGTGAGTAAATGACAGGGACACAATGGTTAACAGCTCTTCAAAGTTAATTGTGCAGCTACCCTTGGTTTCCAAACTGCAAAAGGAGCACTTTATTGGCTCCAGTGGCTTGTGCGGGGAGCAGACTTCCACAACAGGAAGTGAAGATACCTGCGCTGAATGCAGATGAGGCCCTTAATTACACCTGTGGATCAGGACAAAACCGCCATTGTCACGGAACAGATGTTACCATGGAAACGAGGGCCCTGGCGGAGAGGCTAATTTTTAGGCTAATTCTGTGCAGTGACGCTGACAGTGGAAGAGAACAATCAGATACTTTTGAGGGTTTTATGTGTGAGGTTGATTCTGGTATTGTGTCCAAAGGCAAAAATAAAGGGAAGTTTTTGAATAACACAGTTTCCCGTTCAGCAGCTTGAGTCGGTATGTTATTTTTCACCAGTTATACTATTTTGGAGATATTTTGACAATTCTTAGAGATGCACTGATTCAGAAAGGGCCAATGTGGCTGCCGGTTTTCATTCCAATCAAGCAAAATACATCAGACTACACATATTTTGTCCTGTCTTCAGGTTAAGACGGGACTTGATGAAATGAGTCGGGTATGCTCCTTCTTGGAATGAAAACCTGTAGCTACACCAGACCTTTGAGGATTGGTTTGACACCCTTAAAATACACTGTGATTCATGAGTTTTAAATAATATTGTGTTAAATCAAGAACCTTATTATTGTGTAACGTTTGTAATTTACATTTAAGGACCTATTATTATCATTCTTGAACATTGGACATCCCGCTCCCCATGGACCAATGACTGTGTTTATTGATATTGCATTTCATGTGTGATCTGTTATTGGTGAATTAACAACTTTATAAAGTCCTCCGAGGCGTTTGCTGTTGTGATTTAGGGCTATACAAAACTATGTATAAGTGTACAAGTGCCAAATACGGTTTTGTTGGCACCCCATTAGCTGCTTCTCAGTAATATTGCTAATGTTTTTTGCTTTAACAATTGCTCTGGTTAATTTTTGACAGAATTGCACAGCCACAAAATGGTTTATTTAAAGCAGAATTAGTGCATATCCCATAGGAGGAGATCTGATGGCAGAAAAAAGTTGCTCGGAGGACCGGCATATGGCCTCTGGGCTTGTTTTTATTGTAATTTACAATCATAAAACCTAGGCCAGTCTTTGCATAAGAAATGGTCTGTTTGACCTGTCCCAATTTTCTCAAGCTTTATGTAACAACTATGAAGATGAATATTCACTTGCTGCCTAATACTTTGCCATTACTGCATTATTCAATAGGTAATTAAAACGGCTGGTAAAACTGATGAAAGTAGTTAGCAAATACAGTTCATCAACATTTATCTTCACTGATCCGGAAAGTAACCCATGTTCAAAGGCAGCTATAGAGCAGCCATAGAACCAGGATAAGTCAAGTCATGACAGACAGATGATCCACTTGAAAATGATTTGTGTAGACCAGGCATAACAATGTTTTGCAGACAGACATCATGCTCCCATCCACACCTTTCCACAATAATCACATTTACACAGGATCTTAAACCAATGTCTGTAAAAGTTAAATTTGGTCTAAGTATTAAAGTACATTTTTATGACACTTCACTGTGGTAGTAAAATACACCTGCAACCCGGAGCAGAGTCACACAGGTAACGCTAACCGGTGTTTGCCATTGGCCCCACCACCACCAATTATTCTCACACACAAACCAGGCTCAAATTAAGCAATGTACATGAAGTGTCTTGCCTAAGGACCTAACAACAGTTTAGCCAGCCGTGGCACATGGTGTTCCCAGAGGTCTCCCATCGCAGTACTAACCAGGTCCTGTTCTGCTTATCTTCTGATGGGACCAGGCTTTCACATGCACCACCAAAGTACATTATAATGAATGCTGTATGTAACATTTATTCATATTACATTAGTCCTTTGGCTGATATTTGTTGCATAATTGTGTTGTAGAGGTTCACAAAAAATGCACAACAACATAAAAGAGAAAAATATGGAAAAGTTCATTTCCAGTGCATCCTGCAAAAACTGATGATGCTTGATTATACTGGGAGTATTTATTGAGATTATGGTGGAACCTGCAAACATCTCGAAATAGCACTCAAATCAATAAATCGTACATTGTGAATGAAGAAAATGGATGGATGGATGGAGTACCTGAGGTCAGTGCCACAGGTGCTGCTGGGTCAGACTGAGCTCAGGGAAAACACAACAAAAACACATCTGACCTGCTCATTGATCTGACCTACTCCATGTCACACTGTCATCCTCCAGTGACGACACGTGTGTGTGCCAACAATTTACAACCAAAGTGCAAAGGAACAGTGTAAAAACCAAAGGCTGCAGCGTTAAGTGGATTCTCAAAGGTGCATGTCTTCCCGTCCCCGTTTACCCACTTAAAGGTGTTTTCGAGTGACTCATGCATGTTGAGTCATTTATAATCTCCTACATTTACACTTTCTGCCCCTAAAAAATTACTTCCAACTTGATATCCTAAAACCAATACCATCATAATTGCACAGAAGAAGGAGCTGATGGAGGGGTACCCAACTTGTACCCCAATATAGTTTGTAGTTTTATAATTTCCATGTGTATGTATGGCTCAGTTTTTTGTTTGTTTGTAATATTTTTTTTATCAAAACATATAAATGTTTGGATTTTTCTTCAGACAGAAAAAAATTACACACCGCTCTCTTCCCATGACGTGAATTAGTCACAGTCCCCTTACCTTTGCACAAGATAAAATATGTTCTAAAAAGATAAAGCGAGGCGGTTGTTGTCTTTCTAGAAAATAGTTGAATGGGGCCAAGACAGAAAAATAATAATAAATAAATAAAAATACACTAATAATGTATTATTAGTGTGTGTGTGTATATATATACATTGCTAGATACCGGATAAATAAACATTTGACCCAAAAAATAAATGTGAGCCTGAAATAAGATTCAATTAGATTAGCTATTAATAATACCTTAATGTATTGTTTGAATACTACTACTACTGCTAATAATAATGATAATAATAAAAATAATAATAATAACACTAATAATAATACTTATAGCAATGATAACAATAATCCTAGTTGTAGTAAAAGTATTATCCTTGATCGCTAAAAACATATTTCTGTAGTAGTTTGACTGACACTGGGAACAGCGTGTGCATAGGCGCGTCCTTCCGCGCAGCGTCTTGCCGCCTCTGCCGCCTGTGCACCGCTTCCCACCGCTCCTCTCGCCGCATCCGAAGCAGTCATCCAGGCAGCGACCAAAGCCAAGCAAAGCTCACCATGTAAACCAGGATATTCCACCCACACACGTGCCTTCATCGCGGCTTGGACTTTTGCCCGTGTGCGCGTTTGGATCTTTTTCTCCGCCTTTTGCCTTTTGCATTGACCGCATCTGTTTTTCTCCTCCTCTCCCCTTCCCCTCTTGTGCGCGTGTGTGCGTGTGTGTGTATGTGTGTGTGCGTGGTGGTAGCAGCTCCTCCACGCTCGGATCCTGGTCACCGAGAGGCTGCAAAACGCTGCTAGTCGACTCATACCGAACCAAATGCGTTTGTGACAGACTCTCCACCTTCGCCATCTTAGCGCGCCTCAATCCAGAAATGGTAAGTCCCCCCTCCTCTCCCCGACCCGACACTCCAATGCCCTTTTTTTCTTTTTACACTTGACACCTATTGGAAACGCTTGTGGTGGCGATTTGGTGCCTCTTTCCTGCCAAATGCATTGTCCCACGCCATCACCAGATCCACCCTGTCAAAACGCGCACTAATCGATTTCCTCCGAAACCCACGCCGTTTAAAGGTAATAAATCTTGCATAAAAGATACGAATGACTGTGCACATGCTTTTGAAAAGGCTTGTGCGCTAACCTGGCTAATTAGCAAGCAGATGAAGCAGTCCTTACACACTGACATAGGGTTGTTAGGGCAAGATTACGCTCAGTTATTGCTGCAATAAGTCCCTACAGCAGCGTCACGAAGGATATTCTTGTTTAATATTAGCATGTTTTTACACATGACACGCACAGCCAGTGCTGCTCCATCCATGGTTATCAGGCCCAGTGGAGAAGGATGCCAGCTGCTGTGCGCATGATAAGGTAGGATGGGAAATGGCACCTTAATCACTGTACGCATTCTTTACGCTGTAGTAATAAAGCAGGCAGGGAATGTGCTCACATGAATGCATGAAATTGGTGACATTGTGTGCCCTGGTTGCATAGCATACCTGTGATGTCCTAAAAGGCCTATGTGGTAGTATGAGTGGTACTATTTGTGGCTAATTAATTCATGTTTTAAGATGCTGACTACATTGTGTCAGTGATGACATGTGTTTTGGACCAGAATTCACGTTTTGGAGGAACATGTTGTATGCAAAAGTATTTGTGTGTATGAAAGGTATTTTAAATCTAATTACACTATAGTATTTTGGGATTTCAGCAAGTTTATCATTAAACCAATGATGTTTTGAGATGAGAAATACTGTTGATTGACGATTCTGAAACTGTGAAGTGAGAAAAAGTCACAAATGTGTCATTTTGGACTGGTGTCTTGGCCGTAATTTTGTGTTATTCCACCTGTTTTTTCTTTTCTTTAACAATATTTTTATATAATGTATTGCTAGGCATACTGATTCATATAATTACAATGTATTAGACTTATGCTGCTTTTTTGAGACTCAAAGACAAGTTTAACATTCATTCACTGCATGCACTATGATGTTAAGCATGTACTACTATAGCCACAGCTGCCCATGGGTAAACTGAAGTGAGGCTGCCACACCGCACCATAGGCCCCTTCAACCACAGGGGCGAGTTGCTTGTTAAACCTGCGGCCACAGTTAAGACAGAAATGTGTCAAAACAAACTTACGACTTTCCAAATCAGAACCCCAAAGTAACAGCACAGTGCACCTCTGATCAGAGGGACATTACAATGGACTCTGGACCATGTGAGCCATATTAACATTATGAAACATATTTGTTTCAAGGAAACAACGGAAAGAGCAGCACATGCTTAAGCCCAAACAGTGTTAGAGCTTCACTTATGTGGCTTGTTACACTGTCATGCAAAACATATCACTATATTCGGCCTTAGGTTCATACTGAACTTTGCCTGGACTTGGTCAAAAGGGCAGGTTTAAAGGCACGCACCAGTAATCCAAGGTGCAACAAAACATGACCAAAATCATCAATAATTGATTTTTTTTGCAAATTGCTTTTGCTGTGTGGGATAGATACAGCACATTATAGAGCATTTAATATCAAACAAGTGATAATTAGATGTTTATTTTCAAGCATAATATATCTAACCTTTATCATATGTTTTATTTGTGGTTTTCAAAGATAGTTTACTGAATAGTAGATTAATCAGGGAATTATTAAAGGATATTTTGGTTTACAAAATAATCTGTGAATCATTTCATTAAGATTTTAAGGTTCAATATTACATTTATCACCCTGTGATTCAGGGATTAAAAAAAATACACAGAATATGGAATTATGAAACAGTATGAGCCCTTTTTAATAGTAAGAAATATTGTGATTTTTGAATGACTCATTGGTGACTCAGATTCGACCGAGTTCCTGTGCGGATAAGGTCCATGTTAGGAGCGTAAATTTGATTCCGTGCGGTTTGTTAGCCTATTATTGGAGTGGAAATAGCTTCTGAAGCAGTTTATGCACTAGTTGCCCTGGTAACAGAATGGGCACCAAGGCTATAGTCTCAAAACAGAGGCTCCTGCTGTCTGTCTGCCAGGCCCAGAGAAGAGCCAGGGGGACACTGCATACTGCTTTGTATGGATTTACAACAGACTAATGGATCTGCTGTAATGATAATGCATTTAGCCTGACTCCATTTTTGGGGAAAAAATAAACTGGATGGTTATTAATATTACATTATATTAATAACTATTATATTAATATTCCCACCTCGACACCTTCTCCACCGTCTCCCACTGATGACTGCTGTCGTTGTGTCCTTGGGCAAGACACTTAACCCCACTTTGCCCAAAAGCCCCCACTGAAAGATCAAGGCTATGCTCACACTCAGAGAGCAGCCGTCCTCCTGCGGACTCACCACCTGCAGAGGGTCAGTGAGGGGCTGGTGCTATGAGACTTGGGTGGCATCTCTGACTGCCACCCCCCTGACCCAGAAATGGATTAAAGGGTAGAAAATGGATGGATGGATGGATGGTTATTAATATTAAGTCATTGTTATTTGTCATATCTTCAATATTCATAACATGAACATTGGTTGTTCTTAAGTTGCATTGTACAATTGAACAATTTAATTTATTGTTAATTCACTCAACACTTAATAGTGATTTACTACTGTAGTCACAGCTGCCTTGGAGCAGACTGGCAGCAAGGTATGTGCCATTGGCCCCTCCACAAGATGTAGAAGTCTCCCATTCAAGTTCTAACCTGACCCTGACTTGCTCTGCATCAGTGTCAGGCAAAAAAGTTTCAAAATGTTTCAGAATGTAGTCCTGACCAGTAGCTATTACTAGTACATTTAATTATAATCAATTAATACAAATTACTGTTACTATTTTTTTTTTTATTTCAAGCCAAAATTATGGTTCAGAGTAGGGCTGGGTGATCTAGGGAAAAAAGATCACTTTTCTTCACATTGCTTGATCTCAATTTTTGACTTTTTTTCACCTTTGAAGCCGCAGCAGCTCCACTATGCATTTATGTGAACTATGTACTTTAATGTATCTCAAAATCAGCCATATGTACTGATAACCAGGTCAGGTCCTGTTGACTACTGACGGTCTGAAGAAAGTAACATAGAGCTGATGCCACTCCATAAGGCTGCATACGGTATTGCCTGTGGTGACAGTGATCATGAATAGCTGCTCACCCTGTGCTCCTCTCTGCGGGGTCCTGTCTGTAGCGGCCTCCTCCTGTGCCTGTGTGGCCCCGGGACAAACATAAACTAAACTAATCTATGAAAAGGTGACCGTCCACTCGGCAAAGAAAAGGAATATTCAATTATTAAGCTTCAAAATGTACATTTCCAGCATTAGATTAGACAGACTGCATGATTCATCGCAAAGGCTGCAATTATTTAGATCACATAATTTTCTTTACAAACAGCTAATTATCTCATTGTACACTACAAACCTGGCTATTGTTATGTGTTCAGAGCTCTAAAATAGACTTAGAAGGATCACAGCAAAAATAAGCAGGAAAAAAGCAGGCAATTGAGTGCTTCAATAATGTAGCTTTTCTCTAAATTTGAGTGCATTTTGTCTGTTTTTTCTGCTAATGGAAAAAGTCATTAGTCATAGTGATTCTAATATTCTGCTTCATAGATGTTACGGTGGAATTGGATGAATTGGGTCCATGATCTGTTGACTCTCAATATTTATAAATGGATTATACCAATGCAAACAGTGGTTCAAGTGCAACAGGTATAGAATAGAATAGAATAGATCTTTTATTGTCTGTTCAAATTGAGCAGAGATTTGTCTTTCAACACGGCACAATTCAGAATAATTCATAAAACACACATAAAATACAATTAGCAAACAGTTCATAATTTATGAAGTGCTACCGGTTCAACAAGTGCAACAGAATCTCATCTAAAAAAGGTATAACATCGTTCATAATGCCATTTTAATCCTTTTAAACCCTATTCTACTATTTTCATACAGATCAAAAAAGCTTAGAATCCATAGAATTCATTGTTTTGCCATCGGTGTACAGACAACTGCAGTTCCACAAAATGTCTGTTTTTCAATCATTGGCTTCTAAAGATGCAGTCAGTGATTTTTTTTCCAGACGCATTTTTTAAAATATTGTGTGAAAACATCCCTAAACCCTAAACTTAGTTACGTTATCATGTGTTTACAAATAGTAATGGATTTAACCAGATGCCTATAGTCTCCAAAAATGTATTAAAATATTTTGGAACGGACCGATAAAAATAAACCAAAGGGATGAGTTTACCCCCTTCACTCTCTTCCTGAGTTTCCGCACCTGAGTTATCGGATTATTTTCTTAAACCTAAAATGGCTGACCAGAAAATGCCAATTTCACGTTTGCCGCCCACTCTCCCTGTTGTAACAAAGAAATGAAAATGCTGGATGTTTGGTTTGGTGGAGAGGTGAGGGGAGGGGGGGAGTGGTTTCGAGTTGTTGCTATGGCTAAGCTAAAAAAATCGCTTACTGCACCTTTAAGTGCATCGCAAATCAAACTCTTTGCCTTTAGCATTGATTCGTCACATCTTTCCAATACGATCCAAATAGAACATTCCCTAATTGTTAGAGGTTTTGGATAACCCTATTTTACTATTTTTACTATGAATGGAAAGGCAAAAAAACAGGAAAAAATGAAATGTGGAAGTCAGTGGGTCTCTTCCTTTAAATCGTTTTAAATCAATAGATATGCTATGTCTCAAAATGTGTCGTTTTTAAAGCACAATATTCTAACAAACATATCCAGACATTTCACCACATCCTCAACGCCTTATTTCCCCTCCGCCTGTCTGCCTTTCTAATTATTCCTACTGCAACACATTTGAGCTCTTAAATGGCCCTAGCTTTCCTCTGCATCTCGTCTCCTACCTCCTCAGCATGACAAACACGGTTTCAACCCGCGCT